CCCATGGTTCTCCCATGGTGTGTGCTTCACTGCAAAAAGCAGTCATAAATTCAAGCTGTTTAACTACAAAAAAGGAAAAGAAACAGGACATGTCAGTTACCCCATAAAAAAAGTGAGAAAAGCTAGAAATGCTGGCTCGAGAATATTTTGAAAACATGAGGTAAACGAAGAACTACAATAATGAAGAGGTCTACCTAGTGGATAATGAATAAATGTCAAATTTATGGTAGTTACAACAAGGTAGGATTTCGAGAGAAACAAAAGTGATTTCACTATTAAGGTTATATGATTGAAATGTTAGAAGTATTAGGAGACATTTAGTTAACTCTCAAAACTGCACATTTTTTCATGTGTTTGAGTCAACAGTAGTCAATTTTTATAAACATGTACTACATAAATTCAAAACTATTGTCAGGCATTTGTTTCCTCTTTAAGTCAACATTTATTAGCCAAATTCCCTTTAAAGCCCCAGCATGTGCTAAATTTCAGAGTAATTTTATATTGATAATTTCTCACCTTATTGCTCTAAAAGGGAGGTGTAGAAAAACCATTAAAGACAGTTAAGAATTTAAGCTGGCCAAAGGTTGCCAAATACATCAGAGAATTTTAATTTGAAGAGTATCCCTCTCCCCTGTAATGTTCTGCTCATGAAAGCCATTCTGTTCTGCCTTCACAGAAACAGCTGATGAATGCCCCTTTTAGTGACCTAAGCAACTCAAGAATACAGCAAGACGCGTTCATTCAGCAGTCGTCATCACTGAGCACAGGGCCCAATGCAAGCCTGTGTCTCCCAGATTTACCACTTTCCCCTTGGGTCTTTTGGTTTCCTTTTTGAATGAAAGGGACATAGTTACAGGTTCTTAAATATTACAGTATACTGTTCAATTTCTCTTTACCTCTAACAGGTAATAATTAGAAAAGTTGCACTGAGATTATGAAAGGTCTCGAATGTTGTATTTCATTCTACGAACAAGGGAGAGCCAAAAGGCTACTCATTCTGTCCCCATCCCTCTCCACTTCCTCCCTCTGCACCACAGGAAGAGTGTGAGCTGTACTAATGAAGGTGGGAAAGAACCTTCCGTCAGTTTTCAAACTTCCTGCCCATTAGAACATCACAGTTGGTTCGAAAAAAATTATCATAATACTTTGGTAATGTTAACAATATAACTTTAAGATATGTATCACTATGTGCCTTATGAACACCTGTGGAGTAATTGACAAATTCTGGTCTGTGAACTGACATTGGCTTCCACTTCACTAATCTAAATTAGTTATTCCTATATGATCAAATGTAATTTTTGGAACCCAGGAAAAGGTAAGACTACAGCAACAATTTTGGCGTGAAGCTTACTGGAACCCTACGTCTAACATTTTAAGGGCCTTAGCTGTTTGCACAAACTATGTATCTACACAGCTACCTGAATTATAAAGCACCCATTGTCACTCCCACCTGCCTTTGCTTTCCCTGCCCTCTCTTCCTAAAACACACAATTACCTCCACAGACTTCAAGGTCCAACCCAAAGGGAACTTTTGCACCTATGCAGAATCAACCGCTCTTCATTAGTATTCCACAGCACTTTACACAACAGTATGAAAACATTTATGGCAAGGCAATAAACTCACTGGGTTACTCCTATCTCAGGTTTGTGTGCTTAAGGAAAAGGGAAAGGGTGGTCAGGAAATGGAATGTATTATTAACCCTTTCACATCATTTCATTAATGGACAAAACTGTTTTCTTCATTCTTGTCTCTTCAACACCTAACTTCATGGCACTAAGAAGATGTCTAAAAGGCAGTTAGGTCTAAAATTATTTGTCTAGAAATCTGGTGTATTGTTCAGGAAGAACCAAAACTGGACTTCATTTCAAAACGGCCTCCAACATCAGTTAATCAAAACTCATTCAGCCAGAATGGAAATTTTAAAGATGTATAAATAAAAAGTCACTGTCTAAAATGAAACGTCATATTCCTCTATAGCCCGTTTCTCGTGGTGTGATCTCAGTTTCTTTCACAGCACCACCATTCTCCCTCTCTCAAAATTAAATCGTAGTCATCTTCGATTCCTCTTCCTCATATGCAGTTTACTGCTAACGCCTACTCTCCTAAGTACCCTAAACTTCACTGATTCCGTTACCACCACTATGGTCCACAATTGCTTCTCCCGGACTACTTTAATAGTCCCCTGCATCCTAACTCTAATTCAGGTCACACATACATAACTGCCAGATTCATCTTCCTAAAATGCAAGGCTCTGATCTTGTCACCCTTCTACTCAACAACTTAATAGGTTCCCACTGCCTCCCAAATAAAACTCCAACTCTGAAGTATGCACGCAGCACATCCATATCCCTACCCAGCATCCCTTCATATTAGCCCACTTTACACACCACCCCTTTATGTCACATCAAATTTTTGATAAATCCTCCTGCACTGAAGCTTTGCCCCCATTTCGCTCCAGGGAAGGCCACTCCTCCCCATTCCCTTAAAAGACATCCCCAACAGCAAAGGTTCACCTCCAGAGGCAACCTCACTCCCCAGGGGATACGTCGCTATGTTTGGAGACAGTTATCACAACTTGGGGCGGAGGGCAGGGGGAGTTAGAGGTTAAGGCTATTAACCTCTAACTATTAACTCTCCCCGAGGCTGCAGAAAAGCAAAAGAAAGAGGGAAAACTGCCAAAGACAGGGATTCGGACTCTGGGGAGCTTACCTCCTGTAGCGTCACTGTGTTGTGACCAAAAGCTGGGTCGGGGGACTGCAACGTCACCACTTAAAGCACACATTCAAAGAGTGAAAAGTTCAGCATGACAAATTATACGGTACAACTTGTCATAGAAGACTTAACAATTAATACGTCCTCCGTTTCCTGCATCACTAGAAAATCAGGCCAGGAGCCTTCGGTCCCAGGGTGTGGGAATGGGAATTCCCAGGGCAGGACGACTGATTCATTCATTCATTCATTCATTCATTCTAGAGCAAGGACTACTGTGTGCGAGTACAGTAAATTTAATAAGCTAAACGTCCGTAACAAAGCAGTGGTGGCTGGGGTACAGTGGTTGAAAATAAAAACAAACACGCTTACAAGAAAAAGTGACTGTCCCAGCCTCACCCCCTCCGGAAGGCTCCAGGGAGATGCGGGCCCAGGTCTCCCCCCACCACGTCAACGGGGCCAGCTCCATGTGCCGGGAGGGACGCGGCCCCACCCACCGCGGCCCCACGCTCTCCGCCCCGCAAACAGAAACGCGGGGGACCCCAGCGCGCAAGCGCCAACCCGCCAACAGCATAGCTACCGCCCGCCACAAGCGCCTGCGCGAAAGCGCTGAGCCGGGGGTGGGGCGAAACTAGGAGAAGAGAGGAGCGCGCCTAAATCCTAGAGAGGCGGGCTAAGTAGGGCTGGGGGAGGGCTCCTCTTCCGGAAAGTCTGCATTCCCGAACGACCACAGTCGCCACTCACCAAACTCCCGCTTGTGAGATGACCGGAGAAAGTCGGCCACCCTTTCTACCCAGCGGAGATCTTCAGACAGAAGCCGAAGCTGCCTTCAGGATGAAATTAGGACCCACAGGAGGCCCGTTCTCCAGGCGGCGAAGGGAAGCGTGGCGGGAGCGCGCATGCGTGGTAGGCTCCCTCCACGTGCGGCCCGGCAGCGGTCTCCCGGCGCTCCGAGGTCCCGCCCCCTGCCTCAGCATCTTTCCGGACGCGCGGAGCCGCCGGGGAAGAAGGAGGTTGGGCCTGGCGGCCCGGCCCCTCCTCGGCAGCCTCCAATTGGGCGTGGGTGAGGGCACCCCCTCCCGCCGCCTTCCCATTGGAGCGCGCGTGCGAGCGGCGCGCCCCATTGGGCCGTGCGGATTTGGGCACCAAATTCAAAGATTTTAAAAGTACCAGCTGGCGCCTTTTAGAAGCTAGAGCTCTGAGAAGCGAGTGGCCTGTTACTCTGCCGCGGGCGCAGCTCCCTCACCTGAGGCGGAACCCCCTTGCCCTGGCATGAGCCGGTGCCCCTGCAGCTGTTCCCCACGGCCGCCCTCCGGTTCCTGCCGTTGCAGCTACGGCGTCCTGACAGCCGCCGGGCGCCCTCGCCCCTCGGACGGTGGGTGAGAGGAGAGAGTGCGAGCGGGGTGCGCCTTCCAGGAGGGGTGCCCAGTGAGGGGGGAAGACGGGGGACAGCGACCCGGACCCGACGCGCTCCCGAATCCGGCCGTGGGACCCGTCTCTGGGCCTCGGGCGGCCGGCGGCGGCGGGGAGTGCCGGGACCGGGAGGGAGAAGGCAGGGGTCCGGGGAGGGGAAGCAGAGGTGCCGAGGCGGGACGGCGGGCCCGGGTCCCGCCGTGCACGCGTAGCTGGGCGCCGGCTCTGGGGCGAAACTAGGAGAAGAGAGGAGCGCGCCTAAATCCTAGAGAGGCGGGCTAAGTAGGGCTGGGGGAGGGCTCCTCTTCCGGAAAGTCTGCATTCCCGAACGACCACAGTCGCCACTCACCAAACTCCCGCTTGTGAGATGACCGGAGAAAGTCGGCCACCCTTTCTACCCAGCGGAGATCTTCAGACAGAAGCCGAAGCTGCCTTCAGGATGAAATTAGGACCCACAGGAGGCCCGTTCTCCAGGCGGCGAAGGGAAGCGTGGCGGGAGCGCGCATGCGTGGTAGGCTCCCTCCACGTGCGGCCCGGCAGCGGTCTCCCGGCGCTCCGAGGTCCCGCCCCCTGCCTCAGCATCTTTCCGGACGCGCGGAGCCGCCGGGGAAGAAGGAGGTTGGGCCTGGCGGCCCGGCCCCTCCTCGGCAGCCTCCAATTGGGCGTGGGTGAGGGCACCCCCTCCCGCCGCCTTCCCATTGGAGCGCGCGTGCGAGCGGCGCGCCCCATTGGGCCGTGCGGATTTGGGCACCAAATTCAAAGATTTTAAAAGTACCAGCTGGCGCCTTTTAGAAGCTAGAGCTCTGAGAAGCGAGTGGCCTGTTACTCTGCCGCGGGCGCAGCTCCCTCACCTGAGGCGGAACCCCCTTGCCCTGGCATGAGCCGGTGCCCCTGCAGCTGTTCCCCACGGCCGCCCTCCGGTTCCTGCCGTTGCAGCTACGGCGTCCTGACAGCCGCCGGGCGCCCTCGCCCCTCGGACGGTGGGTGAGAGGAGAGAGTGCGAGCGGGGTGCGCCTTCCAGGAGGGGTGCCCAGTGAGGGGGGAAGACGGGGGACAGCGACCCGGACCCGACGCGCTCCCGAATCCGGCCGTGGGACCCGTCTCTGGGCCTCGGGCGGCCGGCGGCGGCGGGGAGTGCCGGGACCGGGAGGGAGAAGGCAGGGGTCCGGGGAGGGGAAGCAGAGGTGCCGAGGCGGGACGGCGGGCCCGGGTCCCGCCGTGCACGCGTAGCTGGGCGCCGGCTCCCGAGGAGGTGCGGGTCGCGGCCTCCCCGATGGCCGTCTCTCCTCGCGCAGGGCCACCGACCTCCACCCCGCCGGCCCGGGCGCCGGACGCCCCTCCTTCCCCTCCCCCACCCCGGGGCTGCGGCTCTGACAGGGCCCGCGAGCCGGTGGCCCGTAGCCTCCGACCAGTGGCCCGACCCCCGCTTCTGTGCCCCGTTTCCCCGTGTGCCCCGCACCCCCGGGTCGGAAGTCAGTTCCCCCCGGTTTTCGTCACCTCAGCCTTCCTGGCGGGCGCGGGAGATCGTGCTCGCTGTTATCTCCCGCCTCCTCCGCCGGCCCGCGCCCTGAGGGCCACCCCTCCGACCCCTCGGGATTTCCAGGGTTCCCCCCACCCAATCCCGCCAAATGCAGGGCCCCCCTCGTCGGGCCAGGCTCTGCTGGGACGTCCAACCAAAAATGTTCAGTTTCTCCTTTTTTCCCTTTACCCAGTGACTCAGTCTCAAGGCCTGGAGTCAGAAGGAGGGAGGAAGAAAGGCACTTTTTAATACAAAACACTGAATTTGTTCAAATTGAGACGGTCTTGAAGAATTTGGGAAGCAGATTTGAGAAGTGAAAAATCAGTTATCATTTTCCCCCGCGCTCCTGAGGAACCAGTCTTTTATTCCACCTCTTGGGTGGAATGGAAGGCACTCAGATAAACGCTGACTTTTTTATCCTCTTTGTTGCTGTCTCCCAAAAGAGATCCAGATGCGTTCATTTTACCTCAGAAATGACCAAGAATTTTAGAAATTAGCAACTTGATATTGTATATTTGGTTATCACTGAAAAGTGCCCCTTTCTTTAGAAGAGGAATGTAGAAAACTCAAAAAATATTTTAACAGGTTAAGTCTGTTTCTAGAAAACCCTGAATCTTAAGCCCCTCTGAAATTCTGAAGCTTGGTGGCTCTAAGAAGGGATATTTTTGGTTGCTTAATTCCAGTTGTCTTTACTACCTTGCCCCTCACGAGAATATTTGCTGGTCCCTGGATTTTTTTTCCATATTTACAAATTTGAGGAAATGAAATTAAAAATCTGTTGCATTCCATTACTTTTGAAAGTAGGCTTTTCTAAAATTTTCTCTCAGGGATTATGGCTGATTTGCAGTTGATGGCGGCAGGCCTTGGGGCTCTCTTAAATTTTTAAGGACTAGCCATGCCTAATTAGTGTTGGGCACATGCTGGTTATCTTATAGGTATTGGAGATTGTAGAACTTGATTATTTAGCATTGGGATAGAGGTAAAGATTTTTAATTCCAAGCACTGTAATCTTTCTAACTATTGAAATTGACGTGTCACATCTACATTGGAAGGTTAAATGGAAGGTCAAACTTTGTACGGTTAACTATCATACCACTTTCTCGTGATTGGATTGTTGAGTGGGTAACTAAGAGGTTTTAAGAATGTTATCAACTCTATGAGGTAGACATTAGTATTTCCATTTCAAAGAAACTGAAAGACATTCAGCGTTCTAGGTCACAAAACTAGTCAAAAGGCTGAGCAAGGATTTTCATTTAAAGTTGGATATGATTCCTAGGGAAAGTATATAATAATCTGAAATGCATAGATCTGTGTAGAATGCATTTTGCTACTTTTAAAATGTTCGTGATTTACAGTATAAAGAATATGAAGGGATTTGGCTTACAAAAATAATATGGTGAAAATAAGTTCTATTTATTAAACTATAAGTGACAGGGACTCTTCCATACATTTAATCCAGTTTGGTTGGTTTTCTTACCTGCATTTTATAAATGAGGAAGCTTGCTTAGTGTTTTGTTTGTTTGTTGTTAGTTTTTTGTACCTGAGATGCTCAAGATTTAAACCCCAGGGTATTCTTTACTCCCCTTTCCTTCATCATCCACATCTAATACAGTACATCCCCAACCTCTGTCGACTTTATCCTTCTAAAAAGATCTCAGATCTATCCAGTTACCTTCATTTCCGCTGCGGCCCCAACTCTCTGAACTCCTGTGATAGGCACCTCCAACTAGCCTCCCTGCTTTCACTTGAATCTTCCTACGATCCATTTTCCACAGTTGCCAATCTTTTTTTTTTTTTTTGACGTAAACCAAATGTCTCTACTTAGAACCTCTCAAAGGCTCTTTTTTGCACACTAAATAAAAGCCAGTATACCCTAAAAATCCTATAGAGCATACTGTACCTCTCCAACTTTCATTTTCAATCAATTCTTCCCCTAGCTCACAAAGTCACAGCCCTGCAGGCCTTCCTCTTCCTTGAAAGCTCAACACTTGTCCCTCCAGTGTCCACCTCTGTCTGGTTTTTCACAAGGCTTTCAGATGTCAGGATTTCACCTCCAAAAGATTTTGCATGACTAGTTTCTTTTGTACTCCACACCCTGTCACTAAAGAAGCATTGAATAAATGAATGAAGTGGCAGAACTAGACTCTTAAACCTCATCTATCTGAGTCAAGAGGTCCCAGAACTGTGTGATATTTTTTTTTCCTTCCAGGGTAATATCAGATCAGTTATATTTCCCAAATTGTTTAGGGGCTTTTGGCTTGGTCATGGGGAAGCACTGAACTAGTTAAAAAACATGGAATTAGCTTTTTACAGTCTTTCAGCTTCCTTTTTTAAATAAAAGATGGTATTCAGTTTATTTTGCAGTATAGACTTCACACTCTAAATCTACAAACAGCATCCAGATTTTGGAACCAATGAAAGGAACCAAAGTTCCTTGGAGAAATAACAGATTTTCTGGCTGGAACAGGAAAAATACAAGATGATCGTGGAGCATCTTGTTTAGTGCCAAAAAGTAAGGAATGTCAAATGAACATGAACTTGGAATGGCAAAAGCTGGAACAATTTGAGCAACAGTGTAAATAATGTAGTATTAAATTATAACCCAAAGTCCATAAGTCTATACTTTTATGCTTTTTTTTTTTTTTAATGCTCTTCATCTTACTTCCCAGGTGAGATAGTGGATGAAACAGTGAATTTACAGTGAAGAATAATCTGTCCCTCTTAACTACCTGTCAAATCTTAGGCAAGTTACTTAGATAAGCTTCAGTGTTCTTAACTGTAAATAATAATGCCTCTCCATTCTACCTCAAAAGGTTGTGAGAATCAAGTGTTTGGAAACACACTGGAAATTAACTTCTAAACACTTAATAAGGTAGTTGAATCATTATTAGCTCTAAATTTAAAGAACTGTCCATATCCAAAGAACAATGTTGGATGAAAGGGGTTCTATAGGATAGTCTCCCAGTAACTAAGTTCTAAAGACAGCAGAGGAAGAATGCTTTTGGAAAGAATTTTGAGTTTCTGAAATACAGTTTCAGGCCTCTTCCCTTTAGGCAACTAAACAAAGTAAAAGGTGTGTCTTTGTTGGTGGCTTCTTTTTTATCCTCTCAGATAAAATGTAGTCTTGTGTAAATCATACTTAATTCTTTACTTGAGGCAAAAATAAAAATCTCTTGGAATTTTTTACTCTTCTGAGTAGAAGAGAACCACTCGGTAAAATTTGTTCTAGAGTTAGGGTTAATTGGGGGTTTATTTACTTTTATGCCCCTGAACTCTTAGTTTAAACCTAACTAAAAGAGTGTCTCTACCTACAAGGTTACTTGCTATCAAGGTGTCCTTTAGTGTACTTAGAGTTTCTAAGTAAAAACAGTAAAATTAATATGAACAGATGCTGTACTTACGTACCTACATTTACTTATAGGGTGATTTTTACGTACCTGTGATTGGTTTGCAGGGGGTATAGTAGATGGGAGAGTACATTAGAAGCACGTACCATCCATATACTCAGCCTTCAAAAATGCTAAGCAATTTTCTTGAACCCATTCCTTCCCCGTGTCTACTACCTGACAGAAATTCTAATCATCCTTTAAAGCAGTGGTTCTCACCTAAGGAATGGGGGAAATTTGGCCTCTGCTGGCTTCCCCACACTCCAATAAGTGGTTACTGGAGACATTTTTTATTGTCCTGACTGGGGAATAGTGGCTGCTAATGGCATCAAATCGCTAAAAGTTGCTAAACATCCTACAGTGCACAGGACAGCCCCCAGCAAAATTATCTGGCCCAAAAACTCAGTAGTATGGTTAACTTTCAAATGATTAAATTTATTGCCTTTTCAGTCCTTTCTCCAAGCTACCTATAGATTTCTTGATTCATTATTGTAAGGCTTATAATAATTGCTAAACTAACATTTAAATATACAAGTTTTTTTGCTACTTTTATCAAAACTATTTTGGCATTCCCCTTCTCCATTGTCTTGACCATATTTCTCTAGAAGTATTTGATTTCTATAAGGATATTTCTTATCTCATACCCCGCTCATGGTGCATCACATTTCCTTATTTGTTCCATAAGCACAGATATTTATTAAATAGTCCCTTTTGTCACTACTTTCTACTCAGGTATGACTCTAAAAGTCAGATGGTAGAGTTATACAGATTTAAAAGCAGTCTGTACTGAAGGTATCCCCTCAAGAGTAAGATGTATATACTTTTATAAGGTTTTAGTAATGTTTTCTCATATTAAACTTGGATAATTTCACAGCTACATAGGCAGTACCCAGTGCTGAGAGAATGCAAAGTAATTAAGTCTCTATATCCCAAATTTAGAAGTAGGGATATGTGGGAATTTTGCCATTAGGAAGTAAATATGTTATGTTCTTTTTGTAGGTTGTAAAGAAGAAAGTTCCACTGTCTCTGTCAAAATGAAGTGTGATTTTAACTATAACCATGTTCATTCTGGAATTAAACCAGTAAAGCCTGATGACAGTAGAAGACAAGGTTCCTACACTACTGCGAATTTGGAAAGTTCTTATAAAGACTTCATTAAAGACTATGAAAGGTTATCAGATATTGGGTCGCCTATTGTGAGCCCCAGGATTGTAGAACTTGAAACTGAGAGCAAGCCCTTGCATAATAAGGAAAATCTACATGTACAGCAAACACTTAATAGTTCAAGTGACGTAGAAGAACTAGAGACCAGTGGACCTTATGAAGACAGTGGCTACTCTTCATTTTCCCAGCAAAGTGGCCTCAGTGAACATGAAGACAGTAGCCTTCCCCTGGTGGAAAATTTCAGTGACAGTCTACAGTCTTGCCTGCTACGGACACAAAGCCCAGACCAATATCCCAACAAAAACTTGCTGCCAGCTCTTCATTTTGAAAAAGTGGTTTGTTCAACATTAAAAAAAAATTGTAAACGAAATCCTAAAATAGATTGGGAGAAACTGAAGGAATTTATATCCAGTGGAAATTTTAGACTACAGAATATAATTGGCAGGAAAATGGGCCTAGACTGTGTAGATATTCTCAGTGAACTCTTTCGAAGGGGACTCAGACATCTCTTAGCAAATATTTTGACACAGCTCAGTGATATGGACTTAATCAAGTAAGTATTGTTGCTTTGTGGTCATTAATATAATCCACGAACATTTTTGTTAGATGGCTCAGTACCACCAACTCATGCAAAGACATAGTAGGGTAGTCTTGCACTGTTTTTAATTGAAGTGATGACTTTTGTCTGGTTGCTGGTATTTTACTACTTATGTGTCACTAGGAGGAAAGAAAGATAATTTTTAAAGTATGCATTTAATCCAGTTATTTCAAATTTCATATTTATGCTATTAGAAAATGATTTCTGTGAGATTGGGATCTTTGTTCCTTTTGGTTCTGAAATTGTTCATACGTAAGCTCCATCTTTTAGTCTTAACTATAAAACAAGAGCCTAGGTCTGGTGTACAGGTCCAATAGGCATTGTGATTTTTGTCACACTTGAAAGTATGAAATAATTTCTGTTCTTTTTAGGCCATTTTCAAATTTGAGAGTGATGAAAATACAGAAACCCACAAATGGGTCTGATTATTACTATTTCTTAGAAGCCTTATACTGACCACCCTTTTGCATTCCACCAAAGAAAACCCGTTAGGATAAGGTAACTGCGAATTAAGATGATTATCCAGACTGTTGGATTAGATTGCTTCCAGCTCAACTGGGTTCATTTTTGGCTTTTTGAAAAGTTTTTTAGAGGTACTCTTTGAGTTACTTTACACTGGTCCATGAAATATAGGTGAAGCAAAACAGACATAAGTAAGGATTGATTTTTATTATTGGCTAAATTCTTGAGGGATAATCAACCTCACAACATTTTTGTTAGCAAAATGGATTTTTTTTTTTTTTTTTTGCGGTACGCGGGTCTCTCACTGTTGTGGCCTCTCCCCGTTGTGG